TTTGAAATCATATAATACAAAAACCAACTATTTACATTTTAAACTTTTAACAATTTAAATTTTCAGCTTTTTCCTTTTAAACAATTTTAAAGTGAAACAACACAAAACACTGCAAACCACAACACAATTAAATATAAATTAAAATATAAAAACAAAAAGAGCTTGCATATTCTGTCATATGGGCCTGCATGAATAAGCTTTCTGAATCCGTTATCATCCGCAACTGAAAATAGTTGTGGATGATTACTATACCTTTCTAATGTGACGTTATTGTCCCTACCTCTCTTTCTCTCCCGCTCTATTCCTGTGCTACTGCAAGTGTAACTACCGCCCCTCCCCCCTCTTCCCAGCACAAAGTACAAGCCTCGCATGCGGAGTGAAGCGGAAAAAAGGTGCGAGAGAGAGAGAGGGTGAGAGAAAGAAAAACAACCCCACGGCTCGCGATAAGGAGCCGGCTCGCGTCGTTCACTTCAAAGAGTCGACTCTAAGAGCCATTTTGTTCGCGAACGACACATCACTATTGCCCATAATATTCTATTAGAGCAGTTAAAGCATGTCGTCCCTCTCTGAAACAGCAGGATGGGTGTTGGTGTCCCTGTTTTGTTGGTCACAGCGGGCAAAAAACTGGTTTAGGGTGTCAGGTAAGGTGATGTCCGTGGAGTTTGTGTGCGACTGTCCTTGTAGCCAGTGAGTGTCTTGATCCCCTGCTGGAATTGTTTGTGTTAAAGTGTTCCTTGATGCACTGTTTGTATTTCCGCTTGGCTTCTTTTATGCGTTTAAGCAGAGATTGGCGTGCCTCTTTGTTGGTCTCCTGATTTGAAGGCACTGTCCCATGCTCTTAGTAGGGCTCGCACCTCACTGTTGAGCCATGGCTTCTGGTTCGGGAACACTTTAACAGTCTTTGTTGTTGTTACACTCTCGCTACAGAAGCTGATGAATGAGAGTACAGCAGATGTGTGGCCCCCCAAGTCTGATCCTTCTGCAAATGCACTCCAATTCATGTTATCAAAACAATTTTGTAGGGCCGTGGTGGCTTCCATGGTCTACTCTCGTACTGTTTTTACAGATGGATTTTGTCTTTGAATTAGAGGTTTAAAGGGAGGGATCAGGGACAGAGAGAGATGGTCTGAGAGTCCAAGATGAGGCAGTGGGGTGGCTTTGTAAGCATCTGGGATGTTGGTGTAGACCTAGTCAAGTGTGTTGTTTTCGCTTGTTGGGAAGCTCAAGTTTTTAAAGAATCCAGGCAGGACAGATTTCAGGTTTGCATGGTTAAAATCTCCTGCCATGGTCACAGCGCAGTCCGGGTGCGTTGTTAGCTGTTTATTAATCGAGCGCTGGAGTAGCTCCATGGCTGACTGCACTGCAGTGGTTTGAATTACATTCATCTAATACAGGGAGTGCAGAATTATTAGGCAAGTTGTATTTTTGAGGAATAATTTTATTTTTGAACAACAACCATGTTCTCAATGAACCCAAAAAACTCATTAATATCAAAGCTGAATGTTTTTGGAAGTAGTTTTTAGTTTTAGCTATTTTAGGGGGATATCTGTGTGTGCAGGTGACTATTACTGTGCATAATTATTAGGCAACTTAACAAAAAACAAATATATACCTATTTCAATTATTTCTTTTTACCAGTGAAACCAATATAACATCTCCACATTCACAAATATACATTTCTGACATTCAAAAACAAAACAAAAACAAATCAGCGACCAATATAGCCACCTTTCTTTGCAAGGACACTCAAAAGCCTGCCATCCATGGATTCTGTCAGTGTTTTGATCTGTTCACCATCAACATTGCGTGCAGCAGCAACCACAGCCTCCCAGACACTGTTCAGAGAGGTGTACTGTTTTCCCTCGTAAATCTCACATTTGATGATGGACCACAGGTTCTCAATGGGGTTCAGATCAGGTGAACAAGGAGGCCATGTCATTAGTTTTTCTTCTTTTATACCCTTTCTTGCCAGCCACGCTGTGGAGTACTTGGACGCGTGTGATGGAGCATTGTCCTGCATGAAAATCATGTTTTTCTTGAAGGATGCAGACTTCTTCCTGTACCACTGCTTGAAGAAGGTGTCTTCCAGAAACTGGCAGTAGGACTGGGAGTTGAGCTCGACTCCATCCTTAACCCGAAAAGGCCCCACAAGCTCATCTTTGATGATACCAGCCCAAACCAGTACTCCACCTCCACCTTGCTGGCGTCTTGCTGGAGCTCTCTGCCCTTTACCAATCCAGCCACGGGCCCATCCATCTGGCCCATCAAGACTCACTCTCATTTCATCAGTCTATAAAACCTTAGAAAAACCAGTCTTGAGATATTTCTTGGCCCAGTCTTGACGTTTCAGCTTGTGTGTCTTGTTCAGTGGTGGTCGTCTTTCAGCCTTTCTTACCTTGGCCATGTCTCTGAGTATTGCACACCTTGTGCTTTTGGGCACTCCAGTGATGTTGCAGCTCTGAAATATGGCCAAACTGGTGGCAAGTGGCATCTTGGCAGCTGCGCGCTTGACTTTTCTCAGTTCATGGGCAGTTATTTTGCGCCTTGGTTTTTCCACACGCTTCTTGCGACCCTGGTGACTATTTTGAATGAAACGCTTGATTGTTCAATGATCACGCTTCAGAAGCTTTGCAATTTTGAAACTGCTGCATCCCTCTGCAAGATATCTCACTATTTTTGACTTTTCTGAGCCTGTCAAGTCCTTCTTTTGACCCATTTTGCCAAAGGAAAGGACGTTGCCTAATAATTATGCACACCTGATATAGGGTGTTGATGTCATTATACCACACCCCTTCTCATTACAGAGATGCACATCACCTAATATGCTTAATTGGTAGCAGGCTTTCGAGCCTATACAGCTTGGAGTAAGACAACATGCATGAAGAGGATGATGTGGACAAAATACTCATTTGCCTAATAATTCTGCACTCCCTGTAGACTCCAATTTTTCCTGTTAAGGAGTCGTCGTCTTCATACAGTAAGGTTAATTATGGAGTTCCACAGGGCTCTATGCTTAGGCTAATTGTATGTACATTATGCCTGCTTTCTTTAGGAAGTGTCATTAGAATTCATTATTATCAGGATGTCCTAAAAACTCCCCGAAAAGCCTTCAGATGATCCAAAATCCTGCAGCAAGAGTACTGACAGTACTGACAAAGAAACTTGAGGCCACTGCTGTTAAGATTTGGCACTGTATAAATAAAATAGAATTGAATTGGTTCATCACACTTAACTCCAAACTGAAAACCAAAATCATCACTTAGTCTTTTATTTCGTAGACAGTTTCTCCATAATTTCCATAGTTGGACAGTTTGTTGTTTCTGTGCCTCTCATCACTGTTCTTTTGTCAACAGTTGGCGAGACTGTACTTGCAGAGGGACAGTCTGGTACTGAGGTACATAGCTGGTACACCTTGTCACTCACTGTAAAAGTAAGTAGACACTTTTTACTATTTCTAATGTTTCTTTATACTCTCACTTCTTCCACTGTTATGATGATTAAAGGAGTTTGTAATCCAATAAACCATGTTAGGACGTGGAGATTAGATCAACTCAGATTAGCTACTCTCATTATCAATAGTATTTTGAGTCAGCATCTAAATCACATGAGAGATTTAAGATGATGTATTAGCAAGACAGAGCAAAAAATCTGCCTTTTTCCTACTTGGATTTTATGTGGAGGTTTGTTTGTTTTTTAGGTGATTTGTAGATTTGTAGGTGTGTTAATACAGTATGTCAAAATCAAGAAATAACAGACGTCACACTTGAGGTTGTTCTGAAAAAAGGCAAGGTAAACAGTTTGTGATCATATATGAAGACAAAATAAAAGTGAAGGATTATAACCTTGACGACACAGTTAACTGGGGCAGTAATCAGTCCTGCTTGCTGGTAGCTGTGCAGGAACAGTCCTTTCTGGTGTAGGTTATTGTGTTGACACACTGTAACTGAACATTTCAGCAATATGCCTGTCTTGTCACAGCCACATTAATTTACGAATTAACCTATGAAAAGTCTATCTTTTTGCACGGATTTGAAAATGTAAAGATGTTTTTCTCTTTACTGTAGGGACAGTATGCATCAGGGTCACTGAATGGATACCCTCTGTGGAAGAATGCTGTGATACTGACCCCAAAGGCTGGCTGGGCTGCCATAGGAACACGCTCGTTTGAACTGGCCCAGTTTGATAACTTTGCTTTGGTGGCTGAGTGATGAATTAACTTTAAATCATGATTTACACTATGCTGAATGTCCTGATTCATTTATGGACTTGATTAGTACTTTACAGCCGATAGCTTCAAGCATAATAATGATGTTGTGTGTAAAATTTTGGGCGATGTATTGACAGAAATGGGTTATAGTATTTAATTACCATGTAATTATGCATCACTGTGGTTTTTTTTTGTTGGAATGATCCTGTCATATCAAACCTCAGTCCTGAACAGAAATTAATGTCTTTCTACAGCTCACAGCCAACAAAACACTGGTTTAAGACCTTTCTTTGAAGAGATGCCAAGACTTCAAGATAAGGCTGGAATTGTTTTGGGGCATAACTTGTAGTGAATCGTGTGTTTGTAGCACATCAGAATCCATCACACTTGTACAGGATGAGCCTTATAGCCTGGTGTTAGAATCAAATGACCATATTAGTATTTGGTGTTAGCCGTGTAGTTGGCTTGTCACTACCATAGGAGCATCCCTCAGTTCCCTCAATGGGCTCCACCCCTCATTTGTTGCATCTATTTTCAAAACAGCTAAGTTTCAACACACCACGCTTCTTGGAAATAATACTTAATGTCTTGGTGGTTTCCTCCATCTCCATCTTTTTATATACAGTGTATGTGGAGGAAAAAAATATATCATATGGCACTGAATCCTGGAACTTTGTTTGATGTGATTGTAAATGATTTTATAGTTTGACTTTATATTGTCTTAACTGCTTTGAATAAATCAAATAGAAAGCCAACCACAAGTGTAGTGTAATCCGTGACTCCCCATTAATCATGTCTGCTCCCTACTCCCATATAGCTAACTGCACAGTCACCAGGATAACCTAAGATGGTAACACAAGCACTACATTTTAATTTACATTCATTAAAATCAGCTAAATTTAGGGTCCAATCCTGATTTATTCCCTGTGCTTTGAATACCCTAGTTGTCAAAAGTGGAATAACGCTGGGATTTGGTTTAGTCAGTAGAATCTCCAGGTTAGGATTAGATATACAAATTCTGTGGAGAAGGACAGGGAAAACTACTGGTCTAGGTGTTTGTCTTACTCATTTTTCCAGTCCTAGATTGTCCAAACTAATGTAAACTTCTGAGTACCATGGCCAAAGGATATGGAAATCTTAATTTCAGAAACTCTTATAACACTGTTGCATCCCATGAATATGAGAATTTAAGCAGGCTTACCAAAGGTGATCACATGTTTTGTTTTTGTGTTGTTTTTGTGTTTGTTTTTTTAAACATTCACTCTACTCCTATGGAACGCCAGGACTGCCATAATGAATTAATTAAATACACCATTAAATAATTAATTAAATGTG